TTATCACATGCTACGCCCACGCGCAACCAAGTGACGCGGCCCACGCCATCACGACGCGGATGCGCCTCCAAAACGGGTCACGCGATAGATGCGCTGGACCAATACGGGGACCATGCCGGATTCTGGCAGGCGTTATCGGAAGGCGTGTGTCAAGGCGCCGAAATATCTTGCATTTACCTACCTGTTCACCATTCTTGAACTTACTGTTTGTTTATCTGAATGGAAGGAACTCGCCTCAACGCGACGCGCGTGGGATACGTTGGACCCTCAAGTCGTTTGACGTTTAATTAGTAATTTGGCAAGGGTAGGTTGTGTAACCCCGAACTCTCAACTTAATTTAACTGTCTTACTATTGTTTAGGAGAGGGACTACGCACAAGTATTTTTAAGGAAATATATAAGTCAGTCGCTCGCATTCGACCACAGAAACCGCTCAGAGATATTGAGGAAGTCGAGCGTTTGTACTTTTACCATTTTTGTTCTAACCGTTTGTGTTCTAACGCAGCCGGCGATCGTTGCAGCACGCATAATATGATGAGTACAGACAGGGAACAAAAGGTTTTACAACCCCTCCGGAAGAAATAATTAAGTCATGGTGTACGGAACTGATAACAAAAGGCAATGCAAGTTCATTGGAGTAATTAGAAAATCCAGGTAAGACAATGGGATTACGGAGAGGGAGAGCGGAAACATCATGCCAAATAATTTATCACTAGAAAATCATACTGAAACACTTCGATGCATGTGATTGTTTCAAAGTGTTAGATAACACACAAAGGAGGGCTTCCTGTAGCTATGAATTAATAAACCAAATTAAGGTCTTCTAAAACGAATATAGCAGTTACCTGCGCATGGTAAATCCAGTGGGGTTACACAACCTATCCTTGCCGGCAATTCTTTCTTAACTCTCGTCTAGGCCTGGTATTCATTTTCCGGGACTGGCAGTCTTGTCCTCCGCGTTCACCAACAGTGGTGACACTATCAACGTTCATGCTCACACCCTTAACCTGCTGGCTCGGATTTGCTGCTTGTATTTAATCCGCTCTCCTTGATCCTGTCTACCACCATTCCCTCTATGGATTCTAACGATGCCGACACTTCTCTCAGCGGAGGTGTTCTGTCCCTCCCAGATTGCCGCCAACATGCGCCAGAACTTCATTTTTCCCGTAATGAATCAACGTTTCACTCTGTAAAGGTAACACGAGAAACCGACAAGTAGTATAAGTTTATCGAGGCTCTTCCTCCTACCATTCTTTCCCAAGCGCAGAATTTTTTGCGTGATCTTTCGACTAAGGCTTCCAATAAGAAGTCAAAGGCTGAACTTCTTCGTCTGACCTCGGTCAGCGTTATCACGCATTCGTAAAAGAAGAGACTTTAGGTGATCGCAAGGCGTCGGAACTCCTGCGTCGTGTGCGTTCTCTTGTTGGGGACATGGCCATTGACGATAAGTCCTTTAAAGTGCTGTTCTTAGAACGTTCACCGACATCGGTGCAAACAACCCTTGGCCTCCGGCTCAGATGATTTAGACACCTCACCACTAACGGAAATGGCCGATCGTATGGTGGAGATTGAGCGTTTGTCAGCCATGACGGTTGCTCAGGTTTCACAGCCTCTCAATGCGTCCACTGCATTGGGTTCCATTTCAAGTTACCTGTTGCTGGGCTAATCGGATATTGGGGATGCCCGGCTGAGGACACCTCTGAACTTCTCAGTCTGGCGTTCCAGAATCTGCGATTTCTTCATCAGTAGGATTGTTCCATCTGAGCTGAGAAACTGGCAGTTTCAATCGATCGAAGACCGATGACCGAACTTAGAGCCAAAGAAAGTCCTTCATTGCACTACTGCCTGGATATCTTTGCCTTTTTTTCTGCAATACGAATCAGTCAATCCTTCTGTATCTGCCGCTCTAGTCCTGTCGTGAGCATGGGTTCTGTGCAACCTGTATTTCGAGGTGAACAGGTGCCGGATTTCTTTATCGTCCCCGTCGAACCAGTGTCGTTTGTGTTCGTGCCTTATCGCGGATAGCATTCTGCGGTTGCTTTCATTCGGCTTCAACATCCGGCGACCCATTCCAGAACTTTTATTCAATCCGTTTTCTGACTTATGCGATTTCTCAAATCTAACGACATTCAATCGATCTTTTTGCATAATTTAGCGTTAAAGTGCTTTCCTACGTCGAGATAACCTGAAAAGTTGCAACATTTTTTTCGAGATAATGGGGCGATGTTCACTCCAGTAGTTTGTACATAACATTGGGAGGAGAGTAGTTACTAGGTGGACACTGACGGGGAGTGTCAACCGCGATGTCTTCGTTTGGTTAAGAAGGCGAGAAAGGTGTTGGTGAAGCCCTCATGTGGTAGCGTGTTTTGTGCAAATGAGAAGATTGGGACAGTTGTGTGGAGAATGTGCAGACACTAGTAGTCTTTCCTTCATGTGAACGAGGCCTGTCATTGGAATAGCGTGGGCGCTAACGCTCGCGGGGAGTTTCTCTTCGTAGAATGAGAACCTCATAGTCATGAGGTGATTGTTGATTCGCAAGACAGCCGTCTGAAGACGTCTTTCGTCATGGCGAATGTGACTCCGGGGCTTCGCCGCCTTGTGTTTGAACGTCCATTCCAAAACAAGACGCATTAGACAGCTTACTTGTTCGGTTATCTTTGTATGCAGGAGATCCCTCAATGAGAGCCCAACTATCCGCCTTGTAGGAAGCCAGTTCGAAGGTGACCAAAGCTGTCTTTCCTTCTGGCGAGTTGGTCACTGGGCTGTCAACAAGGTGCTGACTACACCGAACTGCCAAACGGAAGGGCGATACCGGGGGCTTACTGGGAGGTGGGAAGGTGATATGGACAGAGTTTGTTGCTGTTTTGCATAGCGTTTTTCTCGCGGTTTTTCTTGCCATGAGCTGCGGTCAGTTCGCAATGACATGATTACATGCGTTTGTTGATCGCGCATTCTAGCCTTTTTCGCCAATGCGGAGGGTAATCCCTGTATCCCTAGATGAGAGTGGTCGGTCGTGGTAGGCATCTGTCGAACTTTGTTGTGGGTCTTGAGTTCGGCCTAGTGCGATGCCAGTAGCGGCAGCAATTGTGTGACGCTTAGACGAGCTGTAGGCCATCTTCCACATCTACACCCCTCCTACCTCTCTAAGTGAACGTGAACTTGACATGCAGGTGAGTTTTTTACGGTTGAATCAGATTTGCGTGAATCTACCTCATTTGCTTTACTCCACCCGCTGTCGTCCGGCATCAAGTGCAAATGAAGACGACCAGAGGTGAATGAGGGAGCAGTGATTGACGAGTCTAAGTGGTCCATCTACGCGTGTCATGCCCACATTTTCTGCTACTTTTACGTGCAGCGTGCTTCATTTGTGCCGAGGTGTCAGACCACCCGGCCTTTAAAGACCTCGTCGGTTGTATTGACTCAACTGAAACAACGCTGATAATAGAAGCGCTTTCGCGGTGTGGTTGGTGATCACGTTGACGTTTGGAGCATTAGCTTTGCGTGCCTACCGTTTATCTTTCTGTCCTTCTCGGTGGGATTGGTGTATGTAACTGTTTCTGCGGACTAGCGATGCATGAGCGGCTAGTCGTGAGTATAATCTTCTCAATACATTCACAAGACTGAGAGTGGCATAAAGACCACATTAAGGCGGAGCCATAATAGTCTGACTGTCGTTATGAAGGCGAACTCAGTCCTGCCGGCAGCCGGCGGCCTTTCAAGTCACGGCTTCCAGCACTTCGCGACGGATTTAAGCGCGTCAGCTTGGTGATATTGAGTGATGCCATGATCTACTGTGAGGATGGATTCCACGAGCACAGTCTCACGTTCGGACGTCCAGACCGCAGGCACTAGTCCACTGTTCGAACCTTTCAACCAACTGGTGTGTGCGGTGGCCAACATGATGTCCGTTTCTCTCGAGGGCGGGCCCAGGCATGTGAGGCAGTAATTATGGGTTCTTGTGAAGTCACTGAAGTACGCTTGGAGGTAGTGCGGGGGCGTGTGCTATAACAACCCCTGGTAGGTAGGCAAGGGAGCTTTAACAGTCCCCGTGGCTCTCCATTTGTGAGTGAAACTTCTACAACGACGTCAGTTAAGTTGAAACATCAGCAGGTCGTGCAACTCTATAGATGGGGGAATTTGAAAAAAACAAGTTGCTCCAAATGGGAAAGTCAAATACAATTTGTCATGATGTTACATGGCAAGAAGAATTAGGGTTATTGGAGGTGATGAAAGTCCCTAAACACTGCTACCTCCGCTAACTGATCCTCACCGAGTCAACGTCTACGCAGAACTGTGACAGAAAATGAACCAGTACGCTGTAGGTAAGGACACACAAACATATTAAAACGCTTCAGCTCCCAACGTCTGCCAGGCAGTGATTGGCGTTTACGTGTAAAGAAAGTTTCCCAGACAGTTGTCGAACGAATGAAGGCGAAATTTCGAGTTCCAGGTGTATGCATAAGTAAAGAAGAAGAGTCGAGTACCGGAACACTTCGTTTTTTATCTTGAGCTTTCAGACTCGTACAGGAGGTGACTACGAAGGGCTCTGTACGCCGGCGCTAGATCGATAAATCGATTGACCGAGTTCTCATCCGAGGCCCAGGCTTCAATCAATTCTCGGCCTGTTTTGTTTCCGGCGTGGGCGACTATTTTGGTAGCTGTGAAGTCAAACTCGTGACCCATTTCGTAGGTGTGGGCGGCCACTTGTGATAATGCGTCGCCTCGCCGCACAGCCAGTTTATGTTCGTGTATGCGCGATCCGAGCATGCGTCCAGTCTGTCCTGTGTAGTTAGAAGGACAATTTTGACACGGAATGCGATACACTACTCCAGATTGCGCTTCAGGTTTTAACTGGTCTTTGATTTTCATGACCCTGCCGCGCATGGTGGCTTTGGGGCGGTGTGCAATTCCAACACCTAGCTCGGCAGCGATGCGCTCGGTCGCTTCTGAAACACCCTTGATGTATGGCAGAGAATGCCATATCGTTGGTGGCGTTGATTTTCAAGTTCTCTGGTGGCGACCGCGTAGGCAGCGACTTATGAATGCCTTCGGATAGCCATTTTGCACAAACTGGTCGCGGAGATAACGGGTCTCACGTGCTCTGTCCTCCGGTTTGCTGCAATGACTTTGGATCCGTTTGAAGAGCGTCTTCGCACAGCTTCGTTTGTGAGCCACCGGCTGGTTGCTGTGAAAACTGAGAAACTGTGTGGTGTTCGTAGACTTCCTATAAACAGTCGTTTCAAGTTCACCGTCAAGGTTTCGTCTGACGAGCACATCCAGGAAGGGCAACTGCTGTTCCTGTTCTTCTTCCCTCTTGAATTTTATATCAGGGAAGACTGCGTTGAGCAGGCTGTGGAAATGCTGCAGCATGTCCTTCTTTACGACGATGAACGTGTCGTCAGCGCAACGGCGCCAAAACACCGGTTCATGTCGGAGGAAGGCAATCTTTTTTAACTCCTGTAGGACCAGTTCTGCCACCAAACCGGAGACTGGTGAGCCCATTGGGGTTCCCTTGATTGGTTCATAGGTCTCTCCCGCAAAAGTGAAGAAAGTTTGTTGGCAGAATTCAAACAGCCTCATGAGGTGTTCAATTTTGAGGGCATTCTGAGTCTCATCGTACGCCTCTTCAAGTCTCTTGCGTAAGACTTCGCGGGCCAAGTTTGGTGGGATGGATGTGAACGTCGGTGGGTTTTACAGTTACATGTCTCAGGGTAAGCAGTTCAACCATCCATTTGTCTGCGAAGCACATTTACAGGTGTAGAGTGGAACGCCAAGGCGCGGACTCAACCGTGCCATCCACCTGCGCCCTGCCCCGCCTTTGGTCTTCCTCCGTCTGTCTTGACATCAGGTCCAGTTGGGTGAGGGAGGAGAGAGTGCGGTAGATGCTGTGCAAGTCAGCTACAACCATAAACCAATTCTCACGCGAGTGACCATGTCTGCTTCACTTTGCTGTGTAGCACACGGTGGACATTTTTGATAGCGACGATCAAACTATTGTGGGTACAAACGTTGACAGCGAATGTCTCGCCGCAGTGTGAGTCCTCATGGTCATGAGGCGATTTTTGAATCGCGAGTCAACCGTCTGAATATGCCGTTCGTTATGGCGAAGGTGACTCTAGGGTTTCGCCGCCCTCCACGATGAAGAGGCAACTGTTTGCCATACTTTATATACACATGTACGTTCGTTTATCGATTTTGTGAGGCTGTGTGATGCAAATGGTCGCCAAGTCGAAGAATAACTTGCCCCATTCTTCTGCCTGTTTCAGAAAGCGTCAGTACAATAAAGTGGAAGACGAGGACAAATATGTGATTTTTAGTTCTTACTAAGTTTTCTTCCTTACGATCAAGGTCCTAAGTGTTTGAATTATTTCTTAACGATTTAGCTTTCACGCACGCATTCGCGAATGTTCCGTTTTCAGTACAAACTATTTTATCGAAGCAGGCTTCTTATAGTTTGCTGGGAGACACACTAACGATTCAGGCAGTCGCAGAATGTCGGCGAAACACGCGTGCGGGGGCTTTTGGCTAGTACCTGTGCTGTTAGTATGATATGCCCTTACCCTAAAACAGCTTGCCGACAGTTAACTAATATTACGCGGTTACCCGCTCTCGCTGATGGACTTCTGTCCAAATATTCATACATAAAATTCCGCTCTGCACCTATAGACCTAGAATATGTTGATCTAATTCAAGGTCGCAGTTAATTTCTGAGGAACTAAAAAGCAACAATTTCTAACTTCGGGTGTCTACCATAAAGCAGACGGGAAATGCTGTGGGACCCGCTGATGAGCCGGCACGACGGCGAAACACGCGTGTTTGGGTTTTTAGATAGTACCTACGCTGCTTTATGGCATCTTATAGTGCCAAACTATACTACTAGCCGCCAATGGCTACCCGCGCCACTTTGTCTACCGGTGCATACGCAAAAGGGACGAAAGACCTAACCGCACGGAAACCAAATTTTGGCGAGCGCTTCCGTAAGTCAAGAACGTATCGGAAGCTGTCGGCCGCCTTCTCACACCACTTGGGGTTGGAGCTGCACACAGACCGGAGGCAACCACCAGGCGTCTGTTAATGAAACCGAAAGACCCGATGCCACGGTTAGAAACGTCTGGAGTCGTTTATCGGATCTGGTGCAGTTGCGAACAAAGCGACTACGTCGGAGGAACCGGAAGACAACTCCGAACGAGAATAGCCGAACACTCTGCAGCGGTGCGGAGAAATGACGCCAGCTCTCAAGATGCGGCTCATTCGACGAGAGCCGGCTACACATTCAAATTCAACAAGGCCGACATTCTCGCAAGAGGTGACAACCGCGTGAGCCGGGAGCTACTTGAATCATGGTTTACTGGCTCCCAGTCCATTAAAAAGTGCCATGAACTTCCCCTTCCTTACTCGGTGCTGAGACTTCGCCTAGGCGGAGTAATTAGCCACGCGGGGAGCGGACATGTGAACACTTGTCCCAACATCAGGGTCGGTGCGTCAGATGGTCGAGAAATCACCACACCAAGATTCAACGCACGTGATGAAATTGCAGCAATTAACGACGCGAATGTCGGCCATCAAATAATTAGCACGCCAAGTGCGACGATCCCGAATGAAGGGGGAGACGTGAATGTTCATAGGTGTGCGGTAGCATGGCGACTGCATCCTATAAATATTGCAGTCCCTTGTGCATGAATCACCCGTATCTGCTTTTTCCTGGTGATGGATTCGAGCAGGAATCCGAAACGTCAGGCTAATAAAGCTCTTGTCCCAGCGATCGTGTCTCTTTCTTCAAAATCCACTCACCCTGTTGTGTCTTGGGGCTCCCTCTCTCTCGAGCCCAGGACACGTTAGCCACGAAACCCAGTTGCATTCGCGGTATATGTAGGGCCTTGGACAAACCAGTATTTCATGGTGGAAGGGAGAGCAAAGTAGAAATTAGGGTTTTCTTCCTCATGGTACATAGCACTTTTGTCTATGTAGCAAGTCTGATACGATCAAGCTTATCAAGTTGGAATACACTTTGTATTTCTGGCAGATGGCAGCAGAGAGCAGGAAGCAGAAGCATCCTGGAACGAGGGTAAGCCTCAGTCAGATAGAAGTCCACCTGGGTGCCAACGAAACGGAATTTCTAGAGGCCCTCTCGAAGAAAGTTCTATTTTTGAGGCATCATTTTGACCAAATTGTATGTGGGGTTGCCTTTCAGGGTGGCCATTAGCCCCCCTATTCCTTGCCGACATCAGGAGAAACACTGTCTGACCTGACCAAATTACACACCACTCGACGCGTTCTCACTATTTCCACCTGTCTCACCGAACTTAGCGCAGACGGCTCGAGGAGAAGTACGACGAAACGAGGGACCTCTAGGAATTGAACATCTAATGCGAATATTTGAAGTCCGTCAACGAAGCTCTCTTACCTTCATTTGCAGAACATCCGACCAGCCAAAGGAACACCGGTGGGTCCCCAATATCCAACCTAGTTGCAGAATTGGTCCTGCAAGTGCTGAAAAAGATCTCTTTCAGCCTCTACAAATCTGCGTTTTGGCGCCGGTATGCGAACGACGTGTTCGCCGTTATTGAGAGGCTTTCAAGACCTGCACAATGACATCATCCCCAACATGCAATTAGCAAGAGAATAAGAGAAGGCCAAACGGTTACCCTTCCTCGGTGTTCTACTCACGCGCAAACCTGTTGGTGAACTTAGCACCACAGTCTACAGAATGATAACTAAGACAAAACAGGTTTTCCAGCCTACATAGTTATCACTCGGTGGTGGAAAAATGTGAGTTGTATTAGGGCGTTCTTCGAAAGGGTGAAAAACGTAACCAAACTAACCAGAAGGAAGACTATAAGAACTACTGCATCCCCGGAACCAATCAGAAATGAACGGTTACCTAAGAAACTCGATCTGCCACTGCCTCCGTTCACGCGTAAGAAAAACCAACGGAAGAGAGCTACCAACACTTCGACACTCTCTACCGTGCATAAAGCATGTATCAGAAGCTACCGAAAGTATAGCCGCATAGTTAACGTGATTATTACCCATCGTCCAGCAGTAACTATGCCTATCATATTCATAAAAATGAATAACCGACCGGACGCATATGAGGAATCAGACGTAATTTACCGTATCGCATGTCATGACTGCCCCGTCCTTATACAGGCCAGACAGGACAATGACTCAACTCTCAAAAAAAACAGTTCGACCATCGGTTTTGACGATGTCCACCGCGTACTCCACAGCAGAATGGGAGTAGAGATAGTGAAATGCTCGTGATCCATCTTATGGTGATAATGGACTTGTGCAAAGTCTACCGCACTCTCTCCTCCTCTCTCCACATGAGACCGGTGTGAAGACGCAGTCAAGAAGACTGGAGGCGGGAGATCCAGCAGGGGCTGGCGCGGCGTAAGCCCGCACCTAGGTGGTCCACAGCAAAGACCTGACTAGGATTTCTAACAACAACAACAACAACAAATGTAGGATGGGCGGGGATCCCGATTGGCGCCCCGTGGGCCTGCGTATGAGCTTGCCAACGCATCCCAGATGTTGGCATTTCTTATGGGTACATATTTCCAATAACGGCTGCCGGACTCCGATGTACCCCCCCCCCGTGCTGGTTCAGCCCATCTACCACTGTTCCATGTTGCCACCCGCACGCTGGCGGAAGGCCATGAGTTTGAGTTCGTGATCACGCGAATACTAGCGCGAGCCGGCAACAAGACGGGGCGGGTGTCTGACGTGAACTCCATCAACAGACACACCGACCTGCCGTCTTGCCATCACGCGCCCCGCCCACGCAACCGGGAGACGCGACCTACTTCCCGGTCAAGGGCGCACGTCACCACCATACCGCGAAAGTCCAGTGTTTTCGACAACGCGAACCCAACCCGGCCACGGACACTACTCATACCCCACTTCCTCCTGCTCTCCCCTATATCATTGTTCGACTACAAAAATGCCCACTTGTTGTTGTACTCCCACAGTCTGCGATGATAGGTTCGTGTACGAGTTCGAAAGCTGAGGCTAGTAAATCTGCTGTTCCACTGATTGTGTCTTCTTCTTCATTGTAAAAAATGTTGAAACTCGCACTTGCGATGTCATGAGCATACTAGACGAAACCTTGCAGGCTGTCGAAGTTCCGGCTGCCTTTAGAGATTAAATGGGCGACTTCATCGTTGATCTTGACGCTTCCTGAAGTTGCACTTTTCACGATACGCCAGCTTTTTTTACAGATGATAGGGGAGTCCCAACAAGACGGATCCTGTGCTCGTTGTAATTGGAAGATAGTGCCGGTTAACATATAACCACAGTCTTCATCAGGCTGCTTGTCTTCTCGAAGTTTGAGAAACCAGAGCCGAAGAGGTCTGAGCTCGCAGTCATCCTCGAATAAGAGGTGCTTTATTTCGCCGGTCCAGGAAACTCGCTGTCTGCCGGACCCCACCTAACAAAAGGTGTCCTTCATGTAGACGCACAATATAGAACTGGACGGGAAAAGCCACTAAGTGTTCTAAACTGACTTGTCGGCATAGTTTTTTGTTATCTATAGGCCAAATCGGACTTTTCCTGCCCTGAACTCGTTTCCTTGACTTAAA